GCAGACCTCTCCTGACCCGCCCGCTGCTCCCCTCCTTCGTCAATCTGCCTGTTCTGCTCCCCACTCTGTCTCTGGTGAATCCTCTCACCCTCCGCATCTCTGGCCTATACCCCAGCTCTATATGAATAAATAAATAATAAAAATCTAAAAAAACAAAGAATCATGTTTAAACAGATGTATATCACCCCTGAAAGTTGCCAAAAGGGCTATTAAGCTGGTACTCAATATGGTGATGGGCTCAATCACTCAATCAAGCAAATGGTTTCCTTATAGGAGGAATATAGGGGAACAAAATAAGGGGGAAAGGGGGGAAAAACAACTAAAAAAAACTATCAGGCAACCATAAATAAGAGACATTCTGGAGGAACAGGGAGGACTAGGGGTCAAACCAGGGGAGAGAGCACCAGGAACTATGGTGAAGGTCCAGGGTGAACTGATGATGGGAATTTCACAAGGACTACGCGCACACACACAAATAAGAGATCTCACATTGTTTTATTGCTGCTGATTAGGGCGGGGCTGCTGGTGGTGGTGGTGGTAGGAACCTGTAGTTAGAGGTAAGAATGATGTTTTTGTACATGGATAGGCTGATTTACTGATTAGTTTTCTACCCATCTGGGTTAAATGCTACTTGTCATGGCAACTAGGAGCTCAGAGAGTGTAAAAAGCAAATGCAGATTCTGCTGGACCAGTACCGATGCAATCATGGTGAAGCTTATTCTCCTTAGGGTGAGTGAGTCTATACTCAGAGATGGAGACTTCCTCCTGCTTGATTTCTTTGTCTCTCTGGATCTTACAGCCATGAAGAAGTCCTCGCCTACATCTCCATGCTTTTTCATTCTTATTTCAAATTTCCAAGAGAAGCGTGCCATTTGCAAGCCAGCCTATGTTCTGTTACCTTAATCTCAATGGGACCTAGTGACAATTCCACTGACAATGGCACCACAGGCCTGGGCCTAGAAGAAAGGTTTGTTTCCTTCCAGTGTTTGTCTTTCATTGTTTGTTGAGTTGTTTCTTTTTCATCTGCTGTCATTTCATTTTAATGGGTGTCATTTTTATTTGCATACTTGTGTCCTCGGTCTACTTTTTTCAGGGATGAAAATCAATAGGAACCAAGATAGAAGTATGTACATTATGTTTGTCTTTATACCTCTGGGTTGTTAATGTATTATGAAAACATATTGCAGGAGTGTACCTGTTAGAAGTTTAATCATTCAAGGGAACTGGTTCAATTAAATTGTTCCATCAATAATATCCAAAGTTTATTAGTTCTAAAACAGTGATTTACAAACATTTTATAGCTTCAGAATATTTTCCAAATGAAACTTTAGCTCACTCTATAAAACAATCAGATCAAAAGGGTTCTGTTAGAAGCCAGGGAGCAAATTCTAGAATTTCACATCATAGTTCCTAGTTCTTATTTTCTACTATAAGATCTCCTAGAAGCTGATTTTTAAAAAAATCTAAGGCTCCTACACTGAGATACTACACTGAATTCACCATTTTAGAGGATACCTTTTCTGTTGGAAGGCTGTATTCATACCAGTTCAAATAGGGAAAGCTGAATGTCTCTTAAGTAAGTAGATGGGGACTTTTTTTTTCTAAAAAATTTATTTGGCCCTACCTGGTGGCGCAGCAGGTTAGAGCACAGCACTAAGAAGCTTAAGCCCCTTCCGCATGAGTTCGATTCCTGACTGCCCCAGAGGTGATCCACATGGCGTGGCAGACCTCTTCTGACCGCCCGCTGCTCCCCTCAGCAGTGTACTTCTTCAATCTGCCTGTTCTGCTCCCCGCTCTGTCCCTGGTGAATCCTCTCACCCTCTACATCTCTGGCCTGTATCCCAGTTCTGTATGAATAAATAAATAAATCTTTTAAAAATTATTTATTCATACAGAACTGGGGTATAGGCCAGAGGTGCAGAGCCGGTGAGAGGATCCACCAGGGACAGAGCGGGGAACAGATCAGGTAGACTGATGAATACACTGCTGAGGGGAGCAGCGGGCGGGTCTGGAGAGGTCTGCCGCGCCATGTGGGTCACCTCAGGGGCTGGGAATTGAACTCGCACTGAAGCGGCTGCGGCTAGCTGAGCCACCAGGGAGGGTCCAGACCAAGTCTCAAGTAATGCTGTAATATATCTTCCACTGACTTTAAACTCTACATTCAATAACATTTATTTCTGCCATAGAAGGTAGAAGAAGATGAAGCCATAGCCGCTTCTGACTGAGAGAAGGGAAGGGAATGTCTTTTGGGTCATTTACTAAAAGCTTGCTCTTTGGGGTAACCCCTAACCACATGGACTGGGTCAACCTAGACAAATAGGTTCACACACGCATTCTTAGAATTATATTCTACCAGATACAGGAAACTGGCTCATAGTATGTGGCTCTTTTTTTTCTTTCTAGGTCTTGCCCTCCTGCTGAGTGCTCAGCTGGGTAAGTCACAGATTCCATGTTGCATCCTTGACATCATCTTTTCCTATCATTAATCTTAAATTTCAAATTATTGATAATGCAATTGTCTCTTTGCATATTTAATATTAAGAAGTGTGATTTTTTAAGTATTCCAACATTATTATTTTTTAAAATATATCAAGAGTTCAGTCAACGGAAGAAAGAGAGCTACTGTTTCCTTCAGAGAAAGATGGGTTTGATGTCTGGAGAATCTGTTGTTTGGGGTTGCTACCCTCTTCAGCATGACCCCCCGAGAGTTATAAACTGATATTGCAGGGGCTACTTAGGACTACCGGACATCTCTTTTAAAATGGTTCCCAGGCTTATCCATAGCTCCTAAATAAACCTGGCAAAGGCAAAAATAATAACCAGCCCCACATCTGTGACCAGTGCCTCAGTAGAAGCTTTGAAGTCATCTTCGAGAGTGTTCATACTGACCACCCACACAGAGAGCTGTTAGGCTGAAGCAAAGGGAGGGGAACAGAGAAAGACCAAAGTTCACGGCACATTTCAGTAGCCATTGATGCTGCCCTATCCACCCACAGGCTCAGCCTACCGCCTGACATGCTACTTCACCAACTGGGCCCAGTACCGGCCTGGCCTGGGGCGCTTCAAGCCTGATGACATCGACCCTTGCCTCTGTACTCACCTGATCTATGCCTTTGCTGGGATGAGGAGTAATGAGATCATCATCACTGAGCGGAATGATGTCGAGCTTTACCAAGCTTTCAACGGTCTGAAAAACAAGTAAGAGAAATAACTAGAAGGGAGATAACTAATTTGGTATCTCCTTGGCCAGTACTTCCCAAACACCAGTGTGCAAACAAATCATCTGAGATCTTTTCAAAATGCTATTCAGATCAGCGAGTGTGATGTAGGGACCAAGGCTACATCTAGCACTACCTGTGATGCTCTGGCTTTGGCCTGGGAATCACACTTAAGTGCCAAGGTCAGAGAACTATTGTTTTTTGAATACCTACTAGACCAAGCAACGTGTTAGGATGTCTGTTTCTTCCTTTCTCTGTGAATACATTTTTTATCACCCGGAAGTCCTTGTAGCTCCTCAAAAATCCTGAAGATTAGGCCCTCCCTGGTGGCACAAAGGGTTAGGACGCAGCACTGCAAGTAAGCCTCAGCTACTGCAGTGCGAGATTGTCCCTGGCCCCAGAGGTGATCCACATGGCGCGGCAGACCCACCTGTCTCGGCCACTGCTCCCCTCAGCAGTGTACTTCATCCATCTGCCTGTTCTGCTCCCCACTCTGTCTCTGGTGAATCCTCTCACTGCCCCTGCATCTCTGGCTTGTACCCCAGTTCTGTATGCATAAATAAATACATCATTAAAAAAATCCTGGAGATTAGATATCAAGGAACCCAGGAAAGCAAGAGTTTGCTGTATCTTAATACAGTTCTACTTTGTAAAAACAAAACAAAACGAACAAAAATGCTAGTTGATTTGTTTGGTTTAGTAATACTGAGGAGAAGTAAGACTACCATCAGTACGGACACTTAAATGTAGCTATTAGAATTCAAGTGATGATACCTAAGAGGAAATAAACCCCCTTTGAGTGGTGTTTCTTCAAGTGTGGCTCATTGACTACTTGCATCAAAATCACACAGGACACTTGATAAATGTCAGTCCCCTCCCCTAGTACAGAGGGGAGTCTCTGCGAAAGGGGTTGTAAACTAGTTGTTAATATAAACTACTTTTGTTAATTCTACGCTGACTCTTGCCCTTAATTCTTACATCAGTTGATGTTTCAGAATCATTATTCCCAGAATATATGTAATTCTAAACCAATACTTTACATCCATTGTCATAGAGGCTGAGAAAATAATTATGCTCAAGCAGTATTTCATGTCATCTGACATGAAGCTAACTACGCCTTTGAGTTTTTACATATATATAAATGTGTATACAGATTGTCTGTGTTGTCAGTATTGCAGCTATATTGCATGCATATTGTTGTATGTGTTGTCTGTATTGCATGTGCATTGCACATTTATACCTATAAGGCCAATTAATTTATTTAAAAAGTCACTCAGCCTATAATTTAGATTTCCCAAAAGAATGCCTAGTGCTTTTATTAAAGAAGTTTTTATTAGTGGAGGAAAATTGTTCTACATTATATCTTCTTGAGGCAATGTCAATGTATGCCAAGGCAATGATCAAACACCAAAACAATGTTATTTTCAATAGAGATACTCGTGAATCAGGGTTTCTTTTTTCTATCCTTTGCTTTACAGAAATAGTCAGCTGCAAACTCTCCTGGCCATTGGAGGCTGGAACTTTGGAACTGCCCCGTGAGTTCTCTATAGGGAAACCAAGTGTTCAGTTGCGGCTGAAAACAAGTGAGCCCAATGTGACCTTCCCAATACAGGGTACTAAGGATGTACATTCAGCACATATGCTATGTATTAAATTATTGTTGAGCCGGAACCCTAACAGTAAATAAAAAACAATTTGTTTTATATGTATAAATGTCAGTGGCTAGTCAAAGACCCTGTTCACAGAGGTACAGTAACTGGGATCCGAAACAACTTCTTCTTTAAGTATTTTAGGGGCAGGATACCAGAGCAAGCTGTCACAGCGCTTCTCTCTGTTTCCCTGCTGGAGGGAGGAAAAAAATCATACAGATAAGCGAGGAGACATTGGGTTCACAAAATTGGGGGACCATTTGGAAAGGAGCACAGTAGCAAGGTATCTGGGTGTTCAAAGCAACACATGTAACTTGGGAGGAAGATCAGAGTTGGGGGGAGAACAACATTACGGGGGTGTTGAAGTACTGTGGCTGAGTACTCATTATGCAGTAAGGAGCAAATAAGGAGTATAACTTAGTCTGGGCTGTGGGTCCTGATGAAGAATTCTGAAAAGTACCTAAGTTTGATTTCACTGTGTGGTACTGGGAGCCCCAAAGCCTCACTCTGTCTTTGTTGGGTCTCCCTCAGCTTCACTGCCATGGTTTCTACTCCCGAGACCCGCCAGACCTTCATTGCCTCCGTCATCAAATTCCTGCGCCAGTATGAGTTTGATGGGCTGGACTTTGACTGGGAGTACCCCGGTTCTCGCGGGAGCCCTCCCCAGGACAAGCACCTCTTCACCGTCCTGGTGCAGGTGTGTGGCATTACATGTCGCTTGCAGTGGGAAATGCATGACCGGGCTTCCCATGGAAGACCACTGAGGCTGAACAGAGGCTCAGGCCTTACAGTCTCAGCGGGATGAGCTCCCGGAGACACTATTCCAGTGAGGGTGTTGGAGAGTGAGGGTGGAAGAGAGGAACGTAATTCACAGAGCAGGAGGCAGAGTGGTGTTTATATGATTTCTCCTGCTCCTATAGGAAATGCGCGAAGCTTTTGAGCAGGAGGCCAAGCAGGTCAACAAGCCCAGGCTGCTGGTCACTGCTGCTGTGGCTGCTGGCATCTCCAACATCAAGTCTGGCTATGAGATTCCCCAGCTGTCCCAGTGAGTAGACAGCGCTTCCTTTGCCTCCTGGACACTTCACTTTTGCAGGGCAGACTCGTCCTTAGTCTGTCCTGCTGATCAGGGACCTTGTTTAGGGGCCTTTGGAAGTGGGGTCTTTTCCTGCACAGATGTGGGAAGGGGCCACGAGCAATGTTCCAAATCCCTTACCCACTCAGGTACCTGGACTTCATCCATGTCATGACCTATGACCTCCATGGCTCCTGGGAGGGCTACACTGGAGAGAACAGCCCCCTCTACAAACACCCAACCGACACTGGCAGCAATGCCTACCTGAATGTGGTGAGTGCCTGCGAGGCTCCTTGCAGGCCAGGGATGATGCTATAATCACATGGAGATTCAGGGAGAAAGTGAACACATCCTGCAAGTGTTTCACTTGGATCACCACCTTCTTGGGTAGCCAATCATATCTTATTCATTCCACCAAAATGTTCTGAAAAATTACTAACACACCTGCCATTAATGTTGTCAAATTGTACCTGTTAGAACAGGGTCATATAAGGTGGTCCTGGGCCAGCCCCGGCAGGGCCTTTAGCTAACTGCGTCACTACAGGCTTACGCCATGGACTACTGGAAGGGCACTGGGGCCCCTGCTGAGAAGCTCATAGTTGGATTCCCAGCCTACGGACATACCTTCATCCTGAGCAACACCTCCATCACTGGCATTGCAGCCCCCACCTCCGGGGCTGGTCCTGCTGGACCCTACACCAGGCAGGATGGGTTCTGGGCTTACTATGAGGTAGGTCCTGGGCTGGACTGTTCTATGAATTTCATGCACCTGCTAGAATCTGCCATCAGCATGTTCATCACATCCTCCGTTTATGGAGTTTAATTACCCGCACCACTCCAAATGTTTCAAGCGTGTAATAACCTATTCCTTTGCCAAGTTCAGTATGGGAAGCTCTTTGTAATCTACCATTTTCTTCAACAAAAGACCACATATTAAGGTCATTTATAATAGCACACAAGGGAATAACACAACCACACCTTTCACATTACTGTGGGGTCACTACATCAATCACTAAGAATAGGGCAACGTGCAAGTATTTGACAAGGAACTTCATCTTTTCTACTGAAAACAAGACACCCAGAATTGGAAAACTGGAAATCCCAATTAGAAATATAAGAGAAAAAAAATCAGAGACAAGTATATGTTTTTTTCATTCATACTTAAAGGTTCCAATATCTTGACTTTTTAAAGATCTGCATCTTCCTGGAAAATGGAGCAACCCAGGCATGGGGTGCCCCAGAGGGTGTGCCCTACGCCTACCAAGGCAACATGTGGGTTGGCTATGACAATGTCAAGAGTTTCAACATCAAGGTAAGACCAGGTGGCCCAACAGGTCCAGCTCTAGTCCTAGGAAGTAAAATGACTCTGGTGTCTTCTATCTGTACACAGGCTCAGTGGCTTAAGCAGAACAACTTTGGAGGCGCCATGGTCTGGGCCATCGACCTGGATGATTTCACAGGCACTTTCTGTGACCAGGGCAAGTTCCCCTTGATGTCCACCTTGAAGAGTGCCCTTGGCCTGCAGAGTGCAAGTAAGTGACAGCAGGAGAGTGCCCGGGGAGAAGAAATGTTCCTCCTCCAAACTCAGGACAGCTCTAACATCTACCTGCTTCATTCCCAGAGTGTCTTTCCATTTCTCCTCACATTTCTTGCCTATCTGAGAGACTGCATCTTTCCGATTTTATTGGAGAGGAAGGGGCTTATGAGATTCCAGGTCTGCTCAGTCTTAAAGGGTACGAAGGCCTCAAGAAATTAAGTTGACCTTCAATATATACAACTGCATTTTCTTTCCTCTTCTCCTTTTTTTTTTTTTAAACAAGAAATAAATCATCTCTTTAAGCAGACCTGGAAGATTTAACAAGCTACCCTCAGCAGCACTCACATATTTCTAATCTAATTCAGAGGAAGTATCAACTCCCTAAATTTATTTGTTTACCACTTATATTCAGATACCAGAAAAGCATTTTGCAATATGCTCAGTAAATTTTTTAATGACTGACATCATCTGGAAAGTAAGAAGTTGGCTCTAAATGAAAACTTTTCTTACTTCCTGAGTATAGAGTTATCTTGTGAACTCCTCCATTGCAGGGTCTGAGGCTAACTGCACCTCACCTCCAGACCAGCCCCAGGTCTAATACTCGTTTAACCTCCAGGAGCAGCTGGGCACCTCCATAAGTCTTTAGTCTGCTCTTCCTGTGTTTCAGGTTGCACTGACCCTGCTCAGCCTGTTGCACCAATAACTCCTCCTCTAACCGGCGGGAGTGGGAGCGGAAGTGGCAACGGAAGTGGAAGCAGCAGCTCTGAAGGCAGTGGGTTCTGTGCTGGCAAATCCAATGGCCTCTACCCTGTGGTAAATAACACACATGCTTTCTGGCGTTGCCTGAATGGAATCACCTATCAGCAGAATTGCCAGGCTGGGCTTGTCTTTAACCCCAATTGTGAGTGCTGTAACTGGCCTTAAGGCTGACCTTTGTCTCCCTTTCCTAGAACTCAGAGCAGTCTCCTTTGCTTCATATGTCTTGTTGCTAATTAGAGTGCATTAAAATTCATCAGTCAAAATATGTGCCCTTGGTTTTAAGCAATCTATGTGAAAATGCAAGTTGTACATGGGTGTGGAGTGGGCAAAGAATGTGAGGAAATGACAGAACAGATAACTAACTCCCAGTCTTACATCTTCATGGATCCACATGAAGTTTGGGAGGCTGTCAGGAGGAAATGGTTAAAGGTTAGGTGCTGAAAAGGAAGATAGTTCTGTGAAACCAATCAGTATTTTTCTTTTTCTTTTTCTTTTTCTGGCTTATTTCGCCAAGCAGGATCCCTTTCAGCTCCATCCATTTTGCCACAAATGGCATGATTTTATTTTTGATTGCTGAGTAATATTCCATTGTGTATTTGTACTACATACATCTTCTTGATCCGGTCATCTACTTTTGGGCATTTGGGCTGCTTCCATAGCTTGCCTATTGTGAACAGTGCTGCAATAAATGTAGCAGTGCAGGTGTCCTCCTTCAGAAATCTTGGTAGTTGCTTCAGCAAAAATGAAAGAAGCAGTCAGATTGGTTCACCTTCCATCCTGTACAGTGTTTTTGAATTTCCCATTTGTTAATAAAAAGTATATTTGTCTTGTTCATACCATGGATTTTTCTCCCCAAAGTGGATATTTTGCTTTGGGGAATGAAAAAGGAAAGGCTATCATGTACAGATTGCACCATTATTCGGATTTTTTTTTTATTTTACATAAGTTCATTATTCGGATTTCTAAGGAGATTATTTGACCTCCAGTTGAACTGTAAGAGAAACCTTTCCCGAAATATCTTCTCAGGAACTTGCCTGAAAGGGTGATAGTATGTGGATGATTGAGCCAGCTGCACTTATTTAAGCTAACAAATATCTTAGTAAAATACAAAGTTTTATTGGAAAAAAAAATCCATCCTATGAATGGAATTGCTGGGAGGGGGTTTACAAACAAGATAATAAAGCATACATTGTACGAAAAGGAAGAATGATGTAAAAAATATATTAAAATGTAAAAAATGAAGTAGATCTGTGGTCTGGGGACAGTCTTCAGTGAGGAAGTGGTTCCATGATGCAGCACAGACCTACTTGGCTTACTGAAGGACTTGAAAGCCAGAGCATTCTCTCCACTTCTGCTGACATACCAGACTTAATCCAGCACTCCCTGGATTGGCAGTTTGGGGAAAGTCTGGACACCTTTTAGGGTATCTGCCCAACCTATGCATCAGAGTAGCCTTTTACTGGGAGATCGCCTCCTTCCTTGAAACCTGTGGTGGTCACCAGCGCTATATTTTAACTGCTTGTTCTCCCCTGATGTGGCTGATTGACAGGCTCAAAGGGTCTAGGGGTCAGCACCTCTGGGAAATGTGGTTGAGGACAGGCTTGCCTGGTAGCCCCTGAGAATGCTTTGGCCTATGACACGACTCAAGAGTGAGTGACAGTAATAGTGAGGGGTTGAAGAGAATGGGGACGAGAAGAGTAAAGGGAAGCTGCAGAGAAAAGCCTCGAAGCAAGGTGGAGTGAGAGCACTTAGCAATGGTTTTCCAACTCTTGATTCTAATTCTTTTCTGAGATCCAGCTATATTTTTCTGCCTTTGGTGAAATAGCCCTGCCCCTATATAATAAACTCCTCTTTGCTTATGCTGGCTCATATCTGCTTCTTCTATTTGCAATGAAAAGAATCCTAGCCCGTGTAACAAGAATGGAGTAGTGTTTTGTTTTTTTTCTGGTGTGCTTATTATGTGTCAAAAGCTGTTTTAAGTATTTGGCATGGTGTTTTCTTATTTAATACTCTTGGTGACCTCGTGCGGTAGATAATAGTGGCTCCCGGAGAGTGAGGCACAGAACATGCAGGTACACTGGCTAACGTCGCGCGGTTGAGTTGCGGAGCCAGGCCCAAAGCCAGCAGGCTGACTCCTGAGCTCACAGTCCTGACTATGCTTCTTTGCTTCCTTTGACACAGACCCACGTTTTCAGTGACAGTGCTGGTGACACTGAGGGTCCCACAATATTTTTTAATTAGTGTAACATCCTAGGTGTATTTATGTAAGACAAAGGCTCCTGCTGTTGTGGGTGTTAGGTAATCAATAAGCAAATAAGGAAAGTGAAACAGTGAGATACATGATGAGGGGAAAAGGTGACTTTAGTCTGGGCAGTCCAGGGAGGCCTCTCTGAGGAGGTCACCGTGACTCCTAACACCCCAAAAGAGCCTGTAACTTCAGATCTGGGAAAAGTGCATTCCAGGTACAGGTGTAGCAAGTTCAAAGTCCTTGAAGAGAAAATGAGCATGGAGTGTGTAGGGTAAAGGAGATGGTCAGGCTTTTATGCTGCTGGCCTCTGTGGCTCTCACTGGCAGCCTTGAATGCAGAAGCACGTGGGAGAGTGGATGTAGGCGCACCTACCTGATTGCAGACACCTGGCGTATGGTGTGGGCGTTCCTAAGCGTGCACACCTGAGCCTGGAGGCGGAGGCTATAAGAGCAGCGTCACGCAGAGACTGTGTGCAATGGACTACAGCGGATGAGAGACTAAGTCAGGACGACGAGAGATGCCAGCGAGAGCTGGCACAACAGCATGCTAGAAAAAAGACCAGCGGTGTAGTGAGGCAGTGCACCCTGGGAAGAAATAGGCAGGAGTTGGGTCCTATCCTAAAACAATTTGAAAAAATGGATATTACTAAGTGAGCTGTGAGATCATTGGAAGATTTTCGCAGGGACAGAGGAATGGCGACCCCATCTAATTTCTGCGTTGATGAGATGGGGCTGGAATGGGTTGAGAACACGAGGAAGGAACACTGTGGTGATGGTAGCTGACGTACTGACCTGCGGACACGTGTGAGGCCTTTCTTGGACAGAGAAACCGATGTGGATACACATGTTCTCAGCGTGGAAGTGAAGGCAAGAGTGAGTAAAATTGTCTTATCATTCATCTAATTGCATTTCTAGCCAGAGAATGATAAAATTTGGAGTGAAATGAAAAATAGGGATTTGGGTAGATATGGGGGAGAATGTTTCCTAGTTTGGTTACTCTGGAGGCAGAGAGCACTGAGGAGGGAACACAAGTATGTAAGGCGTGAGTGAAGTTCCTCCTGGACTCAAGTTTTACTTCTCCAGGAGCCGCCTCTGATGTTAATTCTCTTGCTGCTTCCCCCACATCTGCAGGGGCTTGCTCCTCTGAGCTGTTGCACCCCTCAAGGTCATCATATTGTGACCTCATCCCATGAATCCTGCATGTTCTGCATGGCACTTAGACTGGTGAATTGTTTGTTTCCAGGAGGTCCTTCCAGATCCACTGGAGGAATCCCAGTCTCTGGCAGCGAGAGCCTTAGGAAATGTATCTCTTCAGTAATCAGACCTGGTGCATGAGCAGCAGGAAGGATGGTGTTTTCACAGCAGACTTGAAAGCATCTGCGCTTCTCTGTACATGTCCATCAGAACTTTTGGGTGACCAGGGGAGCTGTCGATGAGCAGTGGTATTTTGTTGTTCTTTAAAGGTTTATTTACTTATGCATGCAAGACCTGGGGTGCAGGTCAGAGGTACAGGGGAGAGAAGATTCACCGGAGACAGAGTGGGGAACAGAACAGGCAGATCTACTGAAAGACACTGCTCAGGTGAGCAGCAGGTGGTTCAGGAGAGATCTGACACACCATGTGGGTCAGCTCCCTGACCTGGGATGGAATTCATGCTGCAGTAGCTGCAGATAGCTTCATCGTGCTGTGCTTTAACTCTTTGTGCCACCAGGGAGAGCCCTGAGCAGTGGTATAGTGAAAGCAACCTTTTTTTTCTGAGCGGTAGTTCTCAGTGGCCTTAAATATTCAGCAAACCAAAATAAACAAACAAAAAAATCAGCAAACCATGGGGTGAACATAAAAAAATAAACCTAGGCTATTTGCACTCAGTCTCTTAAGACACTTGGTCAGTACTGGAAATTTTTGTAATAACTTTAAAAATCATTTTATATAGCACCTATTATTTAAACAAGTTCAGTTTATTTCAAATATAATTTTTACTTTAAAATAGGATTTTTAATTATAAAGAATAATTTTAAATGTTTTCAAATAATCTCTGGGAACTATGTACTTTTTGTTTAAATTGTTTTCTTTACAGTGGAACAATTTTTGAGTTAGAAATATCTTGGATTACTAGTTCAAGTATATTTCACTTTTGATTTGCATTTGCTTAGTTTAAGTTGTAGCTAAGTATCTTCTCTGAAGATGATGTGGGTCATTCATTGTTTGGAAACTAAAACTTATGTAGGTGTTTAATATTCATTAAGTAAATGCTTTTTGTGTGTGATATCAATCTGTGGCTTGTTTTTGGAATACACAGTGTTTTTTTTTTTAAAATAAGTTGGCTTTGTTGAGAAACAAGTTATGTGAATATGGTGATTTTATATATATATATAACTTGAGAATTTTTTTATTTTAAAATCAGCTCAATAGATACAACCTATCAAAATTCACTAATTTTGAGTATTCAGTTTGATGAGTTTTAAAGTGACTTTCTTGAAGCATACCTTACCTTCCATAAAAATCCTATGTCTTGAACATATAGCTTGAGTTTCAGTAAATTTTTCTCATTGTGTAACATCACTGATATCTTTTATTATACTTTCATCTCCTGAAAAATTCCTGTGTCCTTTTGTAACTGCACCCATCCCCAACTCTAGGAAACCACTCTATTGCCTTCTCTACATCTCTAATTTTGCCTTTTCTAGAAGTTTCATAGAAACAAAATAAAAATGTGTACTCTTAAAAAAAAAACACAGTTATAGCTTTTTGTTTCCCTCTGCACTGTGTTGCTACCTTACAGAAAGAGATGTCACAATGACGTGATGGAGAACACCAAGGATAGGCTGCTGCTAGGGTGTCAGTGTTGTTACACTCTTCATTTCTTAAGTCAGCTTATGAGAGTGGTGACTCATGGAGATAACAGATGAGCAGTTTAG